TGGGACGATTAACCGCTCAGCAGAGGCTTCCGGGGGCCCGGCAGGCGCCGATATCGGGTCACAGAAAGACAGAGTGGTGACTGAGGAGGAATGGCTGCAAAAATGGGAAATGGGCAACATCGGGTTCCACAAGGAACAAGGGCATCCGTATGTTACTTCGCTTTTCTGCCTAAGCTGTTTAAAGAAATGCTGTGAGATGAATTACTTGACTCGTTCAAAAAACTCTTAACAGAAAATGGAGCATTTGCAAAAGGAAAATTATTTTACACAGCTTGAAAGTAAAATAAATATGAATATTTTTGTGACCTACATTTGTCAAAAAAGGGCAGAGAAAAGAAAGGAATGCATTGAATTTAGAACTTCTACTCTTAAATCAGTTTTTAAACTATAAAGTTTGGGTAGCTTGACTAAGAATCTTAAATTTTCTGATGCAGAAGCTCTGCGTTGCTTTTTGTAAGTTATGAAACTGGGGCCTAAAACAATATGCAGAGAGCATTGGAGCAATTACTGTGCACTGGAAGACGGGGACCTAAGAGAGCAAACCTGATTATATAGTCTTGCAACCAATGACAGTTACGTTTAAGACGTATGTAGGTGATTTGATTGATATAGAAGTTTAATAATCATTCTATTTAAGTTGTCTATCGTTGCCCTCTTAGAGGTGGGTTGGTTTGTTTACTTGAAAAACAGAAAACAGAACAAAGAGAAATGTGTTCCTTTAACAGAAATTGAATTTACTTTCTAAGTAAATGGAAAGTGAATGGTTTTATTTTATGTTTTTATTTCTAATAGTATGAAGCAGGTTGAACTAAGAATCTATGTTCCATCATGGAATTTGTGCGTTACCTGGCATAGCGCGTAGCACTTGGCTTTTAATGTGCCAGTGCGAATACTCTCAGTGTTAAGTAAAACATGTCTGTTCTTCTGCAGGCTCCTACGGAAGTATCTGGATGTTCTTTTAAATGGCAGGAGTGGACTGAGAATATTTTTCCCACTTTGTGGTAAAGCAGTAGAGATGAAATGGTAAAGCACGGATTATAAGAGCAAAAATCTTATTTGATGTGGGGAGGGAGAGAGAAGGGGAATTCCCAACCTTATATTGGCCAATGGGAATGTGCCGCATCTCCGCTGGTGGGAAAGCAGCGTCACTGGAGGCTGAAGGGAGGAGGAAGCTTGGTTTCATTTGCTGGCATTTTGTATAGTAGCATAAATGGGACGGATGAGGACTAACCTGAAAGTCCTCCTGATTGTCCCAGGTTCAGCTTGAGGAATGCTGAATTTGTGATGGACAGAGTGACTGAAGCTATGCCCTTACTACTGCTTCTTTTGGTGGCAATGCCAGCTTAAATCGCCTGCAATGAGGTCGGTTGTGCCAGAGCATGTTTTCATGGGACCCTTAACTGGGAAGTTAAGTGGTTTGAGCTAAATATAACTTCCTCTTTTTTAAATTTATTATTTTACTTTTACTTTTTTGGCTGGGTTATATTTATAACTAGGGGCTATGTAAGCCAGCGTTTTTTCTTGGAGGGAGGGGACACAAACGAAAAAAAACCAGGATTGAACTGCATCCTCAAGGCATCAGGTTAGTCCCAGTTATCAGGTTTTATCGTAGTAACTACTTACTAGGCTGACGGCAGGCGCTGATGCATGTGGCTGTTGCGCTGAGCTGCAGCAGTGAAGAGGTTACCGCACCCTGCTGCCTTCATGAGAGCCGAATATTACTGCCAAGCCGCGGAGGCAGCTGGGTGGACAGCATGCCGCAGCCGCTGCAGTTCAGAGCAGAACATATTTCTGTAAACCAAAATGGACAG